CACAAACCATTTACTGCATGCCTCTGACTGAATCACACACCTTCTAGAAAATATTATTGCCGTGTACTTCTGAATAAGACTAATTTCAGCCTTAATTTTAGAAAGGGAGAGTAGCACGTTTATCTTCTTGCCTAGAATTTCACAGAGCGCTCTTTAATTCTGACAGCACATTTGTTTATCCTTCCCCACCCCAACAAATTCCTCACTGGAAACTTCAGCTCAGCTGCATGCTTTCTGCTGCAGTCATGCCACTGATGTCTTAGTGCAAGAACAGAGGGCTAAACAGGAAACTGAGCACACAAGGGAAGCTTACGTGAGGAGCAGTCTATGGACTTGGCCTCGTTCAGAGTTACGTGGGACACAATGCAGGTAGGATTCCTCCCGCTGGTGCTATGTGCTGCAAACCTGCTGAGAACTGTCACTGTCCCGTTATCCTGACTGTCTGTTCTGAGTGTGGAGTTGCTCTCTGGGACCCACGAGATCTCAGCAGCCGGCTTCAATGTCTCTGCCTCACACACAGGGTTCCCGTGGTCATCGCAGTACAGAGCCATTCTTGGGGAAACTGCAGAGTACCAGGAAGGGGGAGATGCATGTGGGTTGCTGCAGTGGGATATGAGGTTTTATCAACTACCCAAAGAGAGCATGAGAAGAGAAGTGGAAGTGGCATCTCATCACAGCAATGTGTTCCAAAGCCACGGGAAGCAACAATGGTGTATCTTTTTTCACTTTGGACAATTCTCATACATTCAAGGGAGCTACTATAGCCGCAGGCCCTGAGAGGAGGTATTCCTGGACTTGGAGGTAGGGAATTCTCTAGAATACAGGACTGTCCCAAGCAGCTGTTACTGAGTGACTGCAGGATAACAGTGTGCTCATTCAGAATCCTTTAGAGTATGGGAAATTGCTTCACGCTCATCACTTATAAATCTACAAGGGAGAAAGAGGCAACAGAAGGAAAGAGAATTTTGGCAAATAAGGAAAGGGAAGAAACAGAGTTACTGTAAATGAAATGAATGACCCTTTACTGCCATGAGAAATCTCCTCTTCCTACATCACACTTCTTCCTGTGCACAAAGTGAGCGGCTTTGTACACCCAGGACAGGACACTGTCCATTGGAGAACAGTGAAATGAGAAAGGAGACCCTTACCTAGCACAGTCAGGTGATACAGGCTGTGGAAATTTGCATCCACATTTACCACTTCGCAGGTGTAATTTCCCTCATCAGCCATTACTACTTGCTGGATCTCAAGTGCATGATCCCAGTCTGGTCTGGATCTCCAGTTTATTCTGTCACTGCAGTTGGTTTTTTCTGTCTTGTTCTTATCAATCAAGTATGCCAAGATGCATTGGCCTCCAGTCTTGGGGCTTATTTTCCATGTTACCATAATTATATTTGTTTTGTTAGGGCAGGTCATCACAGTGCTGTGACCCAGATCTGCTGACACTCTGTTAATTCCTGGAGGAGACAAGGAAAGAGAGGGAGGTATGAAAAGGTGCCCAAGGATGCCACGTATGGCCTTGGAGTTCTCTTGTGTGCTTCATGGGGAAATGTCAGCACCATTACATTCTGAAGTGAGGTCCTGTCTCTGCCAGCCCAAGTGCTGTGTGTCTCATTTTAGACAGAAACCAATTGCCAAATTCATGGCTGTCTTTGCTAAAGTTGGTCCTTGGTTTTACTACTATCCTCTGTACAGACCTTTCCCTAAACCCATGGAAAAGTAACATGACCTGGAAGCAAAGGCTGGCTGAGCCCATTGGTGTGGGAAGGTCTCTGGCAGTTCTGTTCCCTCAGCATCATTGCCAGGTACAGGAGAAGAGTGAACCAAGACATTAACTCCTGTTTTGTAGGAGATATGAGAAGCCCTCCTAAGCAGGTCAGCACAAGAGTCAAATTCTCTCCTGCCACTCCCAAGCTTATTTGAACC